GAGGCAACTTATACCTGAGCCTTGTTAGCATTTTCCATGAGTCATGGAAAATGACTCATGGAAAAAGTTGTTTATTCTTGTACACTGCATTAGCAGTGAGCAGACTAGGTTATGTGTAGCCAATCTTTTCCATATGTTTAGGATGCTCACAGGCATCGTGGTCAACATTCTGCTTGCCTCAGGTATAATAAGGCCTGTGAAACTGAAAAAGTGAGCTTGCAGAATTTACCTCTTACATGATCTACACAGTGGTGATGCCATTGTAATCCTGGGCCTTTCTCAACCTTGTGGTTGTCGCTAATGACATAAATTGTTCCCATTTCACGTGCCAACACAAAGTTCCAGGCGCAAATGTCCAAAATATAAACCCCTCATCTGCTATTAAACAGCAACAGGTGAATGAAACTGAGAGATTTATATAGTTCACTGATGAGAATAATAAAATGCTGTTAAAGCAGTCAGATGAATGAATGTGTATTCACTCATACGTTCACTCATTTATTGGACATTAATGACCACATAGAAAATGAATTTCATGGCACTCCATCTCATTTCCCACATTGACAACTCACAGCTCTGACTTGGATTAATTGGCAGATGCAAGACAGCAGCCAAGAGCTATGTGGCTATTATGACTGAGCTTGGCTTGGCTGGAATGTAACGCAGACCAAGGCAATGCATGTTTGCCAATATTGTGTTTGAGAAGTTTTTTCTGCCTTTTCCTGTGCATAAACAGTTGACTTCCGTCCCCACACATTTCCCAGAAATGCTGAAATGTCTTATCGCATTCTTGTAGGACTGATTTCCTCCCATTTCTACCTGTTCTCAAAGCTTTATTTTGGCATTGCTCAAACTTTATGCCCTGTGGCCTCTTTGATTTTTTTTTGGTGTGTGTATGTGCTCATATCCTTCAATCTGTGCTCATTTCTGAATACTGAAATTCATGTTAATGCTTTTTAATATTCTGTACAGGTGAAAATAGATCCATCCAGATCTCTACTCTGTTTTACATGAGTTATTCCAGTTTATATTTAAGCTTTTTTTTAAATTAAAGATCTGAGTGCTGTATTTTCTTGGGTATAAAGAAACGTGGTATTCATACATTTTAAAGACTTAAGACTTAATTCAGCAGAAACTCTGTGAGACATCAGTTAGATCCCATTAATATATCAAAAAATACAGTGAATTTTGGAGAAATTATGAAAATATTCAAGATATTTTCTCTGAAAAGTAATAAATTACATGTTTCCTTTTGGTTCATATCTGCACTTTGCTTTTTAATAATTATTTGATGTTATCCTTCTTCACTGCTTGCTGGAAAACTTACTTGCACTGTTTTTCACTCTAGGAATTAGGCAGCTATTCTCCCTTAGACATACAGCCCAGTTCTTAGTAGAAACACCTTTTCAAACACTTTGTCTGTCTCTGCTCTCACTACATTTGTTAGATTTTCTACCATTTTTGGCTGTAAGTTATTTTTCTGTCCTCACAGAACATTCCAGATTGTTTAACTCTGCAAACTCGTTCACAGAATAATGATAATTGCTAACCTTAACATGTCTTCCAGCACTGAACTCTGTTCTTTATTCTACCTAGTGGATATCTATCATGTAATGTGCTATAAAGCAAAATACTCAGAAAGCTAAACAAAGAAAGGTAAAGTACGAACAAATCAGAGATGTGGAAATAGCCTGAGACAAGCGTGCAGGCAAGGACAGGAATGTAGGAGGTGAAATATTGCACATTTGGAGATGTGAAGATGGTGAAAATATTGATTATGAACTTGAACTTATCCCAGTGTATTTGAGAGAGAGTAATGAGAAAGAAGTCATAAAACGCTAAAATGCCTTTCATGCTAGAACTAGTAACTGCATATATATTTCCTGCAGGACTTCAGGAATTGTGCTGTTTCCACAACTGAATCTGCAGTAAATTCTTTTTCCTCTTGAGCTTTTTTTCTGCATTAATTTCTGTAACATTGCATTAATGCTCTTTGTCTTCCCCCAGCTGTACATACAGTGCTGGGTGAGCGGGAGTCACTGCCTTGGTGTCACTGCCCAGCAGCTAAGACTGCTTTATACCCACTCACCTTCCTTTTTCAGATTCAAATTTGTTTTAAAAAATGCATCTCCACTATAGATCTGTTTTACATCCTACCACAATTCAGCACTGAGTATTCTCATGCGTTGGATGACTTGCTTAGTGATTGTAGCTTAAAAATTTCTTATACAAGTAAACAGATAAAAGTCTCCTTTTCAATATCATGGTATTCCATGATGAGTCCAAAGCCAAAATGGAAGTTTTGTCTTGAAACACGTTCTCACAGTACCCATTGAAACAAATTAATTATCACAAACATAGATTTGTTTGTAGAGGAAACAGGATGAAGAAAGCTCACTGGGGATTTCTAACGTGGCTGAGGCAATTCTGAGGAACTGCACACCCCCACCTTAATTTTGTTATTCAAAGGAATAAATAGCCTTCACCTCATACTGAAGTAATGCCACTCCGCATTACACAAGGAATCAAACATTCTAGTAGAAACCAATCATTGTCAATACAAACAGAAAAAAACATTATTAGAGAAAAATATGGAAGAGTTTTGATTAATGGCTTGTGTTTGCTCAGGCACTTTTGATTTATATGGCAATTTCATAGTTTATTATTATGTGTTCTTGCATGTGTTACATAAATTTGCAGATACACAAAGTGGTAGATGTAATGCCTCTGTGCCCAGTGCTCATATTTACCACTCTGACACACTAGGAGGTGTTGATTGACCATTTTGGTTTTAACATTATATTTAAGGAAATATTTGACATAAAGCTCTGAAATTTTAATTTCTTCCTATGTGTTTCACGACTAACCACAGAGCAAGACAGATCCTCTACAGATCCTCTACAGATCTCCATGACTTCTTACCCACTGTGTTCTTTCTATTGCTGCCCTTCTTTGTCAGAGAAGTGAGCAGCTAACACACCCTCTCCCTCTCAGTTGTCTCTAGGCACAGACAAGTAAACTCTATTGCTGTTCTCCTCTCTCTTGCCTTCTCCACACCTCTAGTTCAAATTATGCAGTATTAGGAGAGCAGTATTACATTTTATATGCTTCCCCTGGTTTCAGTGTTCTTCAATCTTGGTTCTGTGTCTCAGAAAGGTCCTCGGGAAAGATTTTCTCTCATACCAGATTCTATTTTCCCCTCCTGCTTCTGGATAGATTCTTTCTCAAGTGTCTCTGTAGCTTTCTGCCATGTTCTTCAGGAAATTCCTGCAGTCTTTCTGCTGGAGATTGCTTCAGGAAATCCTTAATGATGTCTAGTTTCCTAATTCTGCACTTATTAGTTCCAAGTGCCACTTTGTCCTCTTATTCAGGTACATTTGGGAATCTCAGCATACTCTATTCAAAAGATCCATGAACTTTTGACCTGGCATAACTAAGAAGGCAAATGATAACAGTCTCCAACTAGCAGAATGATTGACTTAAGTTGGGAATAGTCTTCATTACGGATAGAAAACACTATTAGATTATCCAGTTCCTTACAGCTGGAAAACACTGTATAAAATTATTTAGTTCCTCATGTTTCTCAGCTAAACTGAGCAATGAAAAGTCTGTTTTATTTTTGAGCAATTAGTAGCATTCAAAGGAACAATGTGAGCTTCTACCAAACCGAAGACTTTTTGTCCAATGAAGATTTGAAATTATATTTAATTTTGCTTTTCCTCTGCAAAAAAATCTATACTGCCATAAGGACTTGCTTAAATCTGATTGCACTCAAGGTGAGCCTGTTTATCATTCAGGGTGCCTAATTATACCAGTGCTGTGCATGGGCTTGGCTAAAATCAGTGTATGGGCCAAGCAAGCAAAAATTTGTGGCTCTGCTGATTTTCTAGGTGTTTGAATATCATAACAATGGTGAAAGGCTTCTTCAAGAATATACACAGGAATACACCAATTTCTCACAGTTACTCAGCCTAAACCTTCACAACTAAGCATCTTTCATGGCAAAAAAACCCCTTCATAACAAACTGTAGGAAATTTTGCTTTTGAAAATGCAACAGACTCATGAGGAGACTTATTGCCAACCCGTGCAGATGTTATCAAGTATCTCTGATAACAATTCATCTCCATGGCCCAAATACAATTTGTGTAGATATTTTTTTCCAGAGTGTGAGTAAATGATCAAGATTTCACCCACCACACTTCCATTTAAGCCAAATGATCAATATCCTCCAGTGCTTTCAGTTATCAACAATGTCAACATTCCTTCGGAAGCTGCATTTGGGTAGGGATAGGTGGCACTTACTAGATGATTGTGGAGTCATAGCTTTTTATTTGCAAACTGCTAAATCTGTTAGCTCTTCACAGAACTGTTACATCAGTTGGTGAGTGAATGGGAACTGGGAAGGATGATGCTTTGCTGGGAGTAATCCAGCTTCACTCTCCAGTTCAGAAACAGCCAGTGCTGCTGTTTTATGAAGCCTCAATATTGTAGAGCTCTGTAAGGCATATGGAGAGATCCAGTGCATGCTTTTATCAGTCATTTCTTGATAAAAGGTTGGGTATTCCTGTTAATGAAGCCCTGATACAGTATTTGTTTAAGTAGACTTAGTTTAGACTTATGCTTTGAGTCTCTATATACATCACATCTTGAAGAAATGCTGTGGCTGGAAAAAAATTTTCTCATGGGTCAATATTGAATCCTTCTCAATCTTAAGAACTAATAATATAGTAGCAGTATTTTCCTAGCCAAGAATTTGATTAGAAAGAAAAGAAAAAGATGAAGACCAAAATAAAAAGTTTCATTTATTATGGACTGTCACCACCAAAATTTGTGAAGTTGTGCATTCCTAAGCTGACAGCAAAGGCCCTTAAGTGCTTCAGTTTGTATCTCACAATTTTGTAGTTATTAAGTGTTTATTGACTTTAAATACGTATTTTGTGGGGATAACAACTTACATTAGTTTTAACTGAAAATGTGTGGGTTTTGTTTGTTTGTTTAGGAAGGGGATTCCAAGTGAAGAAGTGAAACATACTGATAGAGAGCAAGCAAAGCGAATAGTTTACTCAGTGGTTTATGGAGCAGGTAGGCATTTCTAAAAAACCAAACAGCTGCAGTAAGTTTATACTTTATTCATATAAGTAGACTGAACTTCTAAAAGTGAATAGAAGTTTGTTGGAGTATTACCTTTTTATTTATATCAGGGGTTAGTGAATTATCTGCCCAATATAAAAAAAATCAAATTAATAGAGTCACATTGCCATATACAAAGATGCTTTGATTTTGTATTTATTTGCTGTTGATAAAACTGAAGCATTTTTCTATATCTAAAATGAGTTTAATTTTGAGTGGACTTTGCATTTGCTCAGTATATAGACACAGCTGAGAATAGCAGCAATGAATTTAAAGGAACTCCAGTATTGTCTCAAACAGATTTATAGAATCACAGAATGGCTGAGATTGGAGGGGACCTCTGGAGGTCATCAGATCCAGCCCTGCTGCTCAAGCATAGACACCTCAATCCACTTGCCCAGGACTGTGCCCATACAGCTTTTCAAAGTCTTCAAAGCTGGAGAAAGCCTCTTCAAGGTTCCACAGCCTTCCTGGGCAACCTGTGCCAGTGTTCAGTCACTCTCACAGCACAAAAGTGTTACCTTACTTTGAGTCTTAATGTTTACTGCCATTTCTTCACAACTGCAGAAAACTTGCACAATTCCACTGTTACTCATTCTGCCTATGTCCTAGAGAAGTTGAAAAGTTCTGCATAATTTCCAAAACTGCCTACCATTTCTTAAGTGATGCCTAACTCACCTTATGCTTTATACATGCTTAGAATTACCCTTTCTGGGAAGACAGATTTATATCTATCATCAAGATACAAGCTCTTGTGAATTGATTTTAGTGAAAAGCTGACTAAACTTTATGTGGGTCTTGTGGAGAAATCCAAAAAGCTCTACAGAAGAGCCAAGTACTTGACTAATTTAGTAAATGAGAGCCCTAGGCTGCAGGCTTTATGTAGCTTGGAAGCACTTAGTGCTAAATCTTGGGTTCCTGGTTGAGAATGCTTTCTAAACCATCCTTTGCAGTAGGTCATCAATGGTCCTTGAACCAAAGGCAGAATTGGCCAAGGCATTCAAATGGGAAAGGAAGAAAAACACTTCAAATTCAGCTCTCCAGAATATATTGTTTATGTATATGGGTGTGTGAAGGTTATATACACACATAAAAGAGTAAATAAATAGATATATATGTACACCCCTGCATTTTTACATGAAGCTGTGTAGCATTTTAAACATCTCTGTTTATGATGTATGTTAAAAACCCAGCACAAGTTCTCTGCAATGTAAATTGAGACCTTCCTGTGCTGAGACTGGAACAAAATCTCCAATTTCCAGCCTGAATGGTATCATTGCTGGGTTATTTTACAAAATACAGGCATTAGCACCCCTGCCCCTTGATCCATGTGGATGCTACACTCTCTCCCATCTCTTCCCTTCACTGTGGGTGGAACAGGCAGATACCTGATGTAATCAGACTGAATCACCACCAGTGGAATGCCCTGGAGTTCTGTTTATAGTCAGAAATGCCTCAGTTCCTGAGGCTAGAGCCTCTCTCAGTAGAGCCTATGTCTGTCTGCTCATGCTATAGAGAACCTCGAGGAATGGATTTAGGCAAAGTATTGGCATTCCCTCATTTGCTCTGTACCAGGCACTAAACATTTCGGTGCAGCAGTGCTTGATTTAAGTATCTCCATTTACTTGTTTGCTTTGTGTCCCTGTCTCTCAAACGAGGGCAGTTGAAGCATCTCAAAGATAATAAGATGTTTCCAGTTCATTAGCTGTGAGATCAGATCCTAATTAAGACATGAAATGATATCATTAAACTCTTTTGATGGAAACTGGGCTGACAAAAAGTAATTGTTAGATACCTGAAGTTGATGGACTGAATTCCACCCACAGTTTGTTTCCCTTCAAAAGATGGCTCACTTTTCATTAAGGAGACATTTTGATACAACTGAAGAGTGTGAATAATACTTCTTTTAGAACTGAAACCCACAGAAACATTCCCTGAGGAACTTGCCTGTAAAACGCTTACAAGAGTTAATGAAAACCTTTCATGTAGTAAATAGTAATCTTTTCATTTTCTTAGCTTTAGGTTACACTTGGTTCATGTTTTCAAGGTCTTTTCTATAATTCTGGAGGATAATAAGCAAAGAAAAAGGCTGGTTATTAGGGAAAGGTTCTTCACTCAGAGGATGATTGGGCCTTGGACCAGGGCAGTGGTCACAGCCCCCAAGCCTGACAGAGCTCAAGAAGTGTTTGGACAATGCTCTCAGGCACATGGTGTGATCCTCAGGGATGCCCTGTGCAGAGCAGGAGTTGGACTTGGATGATCCTTGTGGGTCCCTTCCAACTCAGGATATTCTGTGATTCTATGACTACTTTTCCTTGGCTTGGAGCAGTTCAATTCACCTGTTTCTGTTTCAGTCATCTTGTAAAACTAAAACACAGACAGTTTAAACATCTGCAATGTTTATTAGGAATTAATTCTAGTCAATGGCAGTATGTTCAAGCCCTGAATTGACAAAGAGGGATATAGAAGTGTTTAAATGACAACTAATGCTATTTTCAGTTTTGAAAGTTGATATTACAGAATGGAGAACACTAAAACTCATGGGCTGCTGCTAATAATTCCCCTAGCACAGGTAAATCACAGAGTGTGCTCAGGGAAGCTTTAGTCCACTCCTGAGCTCTGCTTCACATGGCCTATGCTCCAGCACTGTAGAACATCTGACACAGTTATGTGGCTATGCATTCCCCTCTTTTTGCTTCCCAGGAACTACATTTCCGTGGGACTTTTCAGACATCCTTGCTAATATTGTGCCTTAATTTTCCCAGTATTTTATGCAATACTTTGTTCTGTATATTAATAGTTCTTCAAATGGCTAACATGGATGAACTTAGATGTTGCAGTTCTGTAAGGAAACTATAGTAGTCTTGTAGCTGTTAACAATATGTACTTCAGCAGATAGATTTGTCATTTGCTGACCCAGGAAGAAAACCCAAATGAATGAGATGTCAAAAAAAGTACAGACCTATAATAGCTCAGCAAGTGTCATCCTGGATGTCTTATGCATTCCTTCCTCTAACACGTTGTCCAGACTGGTGTTCCTGCAGCTCAGTGCAGATCCTGGCGTGACTGAGAACAAAATGCTACTGAATTGTTCTGAAATGCACATCAGACTGACAGTGATGGCATTTAGGTGGCTGAAATCCTCTCTTTCAAAAGTGCCAGACAATTTTTCTTGACAGTATTACCGTGACAATGACTATTCTGTGCCTTTGGTGCCTTGAAACGTTGCCTCTCAGCTTCTGTTCTTTGCAGCCACAGTGCTGGTTCTGTGTTGCTGTGCAGCTGACATAAATATCTCTGTCTTTCAAACTTCATATGAGTCATGTTGATGTATGTTTTATTTTTACTGGAACTGTGTTTAAACTGTGATGCTTAGTTTATATTTTCACACTGTAGAAAACTGTCTTCAGGTTTGTTCTGCTTTTTCTTATAAATGCTCTTGGATCTAATGGAGTATATATTGTGCATCTATGTCCTATCCAAGAGCTGTTATTCCTTTCTCTCTCTCTTGAAACATTTTTTCTGTTTTTTTTCCCCCTGTTTTTCTTTTCTTTTATCAACCCTTCCATCTCAAAACTTGGACCCAGATTTCTACAGATATTGAGGAGCATAAGACTGAAATCAGTGGGACTCAGACTCCTAACAGCTTTTCTAAAATCAGGCTGTTTGGGCTGATTGCTTCAGCAGTTAAGTTTTTCTGTGATTTCTACAACTCTACAACAACTTCTATCTAAACTTAACCTCAAACATCTCCATCCTTTTTTTGACCTTCATAGATATTTGTGTTTGTTTAAAATCTATTTCAAAGCTTTGTCTGCTCTTCAAAGTTTGCAGATTTCAACACTGAACCAGTTAAATGATACTTAAAGCAAGGGAGTTATTCTGTGAACAAAAGATATTTCACCCACATTATAGGTATAAATTTTAACTAGGAATTTCTTAATTACGTCCTTCTTATATACTTCTTGCTAATTACATACTGAATCCAGTAATTTCAGTAAAACATTCAAGCTCAGAGTTATATACTTATTTTCTTGAAATTTGATTGTAATACTTCAGATCCATCTTCTTTCAAAGGGGTAAGTCAAGTTAACTAATTGCACTGATTGTGCAGGTAACAGTGCTATTGTAGGTAGTGGATTTTGGTTCTGCTTTATTGCATAATAAAGATAATTTCTCTACCGCCAGGTAAAGAACGTCTTGCAGACTGCTTGGGAATTACTCCTCTTCAAGCCAGTCAATTTATAGAGAGTTTTATGCAAAAATATAAGAAAGTACATGAATTTACAAAGAAAACCATTGAACAATGCCGAAATAAAGGTAATCCAAAGTCTGTGACTGTATTTTGTTTACTAATCAGCACTTTGTGACAGTGATGAAGACAAAGGTTCAGCTCGACCCAAATTCAGGTTGTTATAGGGCAACAAAAAAGGTGGACTATAATTTCTTGGTGAATCAGTTTCAGGTTTTCTTTTCTTTAACCCGAAGAGGAGATGGTTAGGCCTGTCTGCCTTTTCTCAGGAAGATGCTAACAGAATAAGACATCTGTTCTCAGAGTGAACCCTACTTAATGTCAAGTTACACTGCATCGTTTTGACATATAATGTACTCCAACACAAAAAAGCCCAAGGAAACTTTTACTTAATAAATAGGCCACATGGCTGCTGGACCGTGAAAGTTCAGCCTATTAGACAAAGAGCCAATTTACGGCAGCAATTTTTTTTAACTTACTTTTTCTTTGCAACAGTCAGAATTTATGTTCTTGAAGTTCAGGTGGTAGCTGTGATGACAGATGTGTGCAGAGTGCTTCTTGGAGCCACCAGCTGCAAACTCTTCTTGCATCAAATTTGTTGTTAGTCTACATATTCATTTATATTTAGTGAATCCTAGGAGTGCAGTAATTTGAGGAGGGAAAACATAGCTGCTTGAAATATTGTCTTTTCAAAGCTAATTAGCAGAACTGTCAAAATTGAGTTCTTTTGTTTCTTATCAGGGCATACAGTATTAAGACATTTTGTAGAAATAAATAATAAATTTGCAATATAATACTACCCCTTATTGTCTGGGGGAGTGTCATGATAGAAACACATAATTGACTTCTAGTCATGAAAATAGATTCCTTTTCTGTACTTTGTAGGGCTTTAAAATCTACTGGAAGTATGAACTGTCATTGTGTCACACAGTTGCATTCCTTCCTTCACTAATATTACTCAAGAAAAGTGAAGTTACTGAACATCTATTTTTAGCTAGAATTAAGCCCAACATAGCATACCTAGTAAAATATTACACATTTATTATATCTTTTTGATCTATTTAAAGTAAGTGAGCATTATTTTCTTTAAAGTGAATGAGTTTCAATAGCTAGACTTCTGTGATAACCTGGTTTATGAGTTCAGTAGAAAAGAGTGTCATGACTAATGTCCTAATGTCATCAAACCACACTTGTCTAACTACTTCTTACTCCTCCCTGTGCTCCTGTCTATCAGCCTTTTTTTTAACCATTAATACTGGAAGACCAGTCTCTTTTGGTTGTACAGCTCTAAAAATCTGCAGCAGAGCAACATTATTTAATATTTTTCTTGTTAATCCACCTCAGATTCTAATTTTACAACAAAAACATTCCAGACTAGTGAGCTCATTATAGGCTACTTTTTCTTTACTTCTCTGCAGTTCAAAGGTGAGCAGCACTCACCTGACTAACATTGTTTAGGTGTTATGAATATCTGATACTCTATGTAACACAGACATGGGAAGCATATGAATAATTCATTGTGATGAAGATATTTGTTAGTGTATATAATTACTATTGTTGTTTTTGATGAAATTATCAACATATTAAGAAGGTTACATTAAGATCTCATTCAGATCTTCATTTGCAGATGAATCATTGGCCCCAGACACTTACTGTTACATGAGTGAGGGTGTTTGTCTGGGGATGCTGATCAGCTATGAGTACTGTCAGGGTGATGCTGCTGTGGAGTCAACCTCAGGGGAATAAGGATATTGCAGTAAATCTGTTTTTACCTGAGAATACAATGTTTCAGGAATTCCATCTTTAAATACAGTTCTTCTTGGAAGATCTTAGTTAAATTGGGAAGACTGGTTGCCAAAGAGTATCCTAACCTCCAGATAACAGTTCCTTGTTCCAAAACTGTTACTTTTGGTATCAACGCTCCTGGGAATATATTAATTTGCAGAAAGTTGTATTAATTTAGCAGAACCATCTTCATCCTCTGCACATAATTCTGGGTATGTGTTGTCCATAGAAAGGTTAAAACTTTTGGTTTGAAGAGGTCTCCTTACCACATGTGCTTGCATAGCTTGGTTGGCACAGAGATGAAAGTCTGAACTTCCATGGTATCTAATAACAGTTTATGGATAGTCAAGGTGATCATAAGTACAATGAATTATTTTTACAATACATATTTTTAACATGGATGATTTTTCATTTTTCTTAAAATAAGAATCAAAGTCTAGTTTGGAAGATAAACTAAGTTTTTGTGCGTGGTATTTTGACAAAAGGATCTTCACATCTCTTTTCCTCTCTCATCTCCTCTCACTTGCCCTCCAAAACAATTGTTTTAGCAAAATATATCATTAGGCATAACAGGAATCTTTAACTGTGTTTTCATGTTTCTTTTAAACTAAAAAACTCCACCACACTAGAGTTAAGGAAATTTGGCTGTGAAAGGAACACAGAAATGCCACATAAAGAAAGAGGGGGGGAAAAAAGATATAACTTTGGGGTTTTTTTCCCCAAAACTGTTTTATATTTTTGGGAAATACTCATTACTGATTTAATTACTCTACAAACTGATTTTTCTTTACTATCCCCAAGTAAACTATTCCTTGTGTGGGAAGCTCTAATTATGGCTGCTAATAGGTAGCTAATTCTGCTAGGTATTTATAGTTTCATCTCCCACAGAGAGTTTGCTAGTTTACCAGTAGGCATTCCTAATGAAAACACAGCTTTAATGAACAGAAGTTTCCTTGTATAATATATACCAATTCTCTGGATGAAAATAATCCTCAAATCAAAATTGCTGTAAACATTTAAAGTTTAAATAAGCTCTGACTCTGTTCAGAGGACAAAATATTGACTCAGGCGACACAATGACAAAAATCTCTCTTCTCTTAAAAAAGAATTTTTGAAATAATTTTAATCTCTCTAATAATTCTAACTTCTATTTGAATCCTACAAGGTTATGTGGTTTCCATAATGGGACGTAAAAGGCCACTGGCTAATATCAGTGCACAGGACTACAAGCTGCGCACTCAGGCAGAGAGACAGGCTGTCAACTTTGTTGTTCAAGGTAAGGAGCTGCCTGCCTACCTTCCTGCCCACTGACCTCTCCCTTAACCTCTGCTGGCCCTTAGTGGGCAACAGCTCTGATAATCTCAGAAGAATTAATATTCTAGCAGTCTACTAGAGTAGGCATGAGTTCTGCTAGGAAAGAAGTTTGAATTATATAGTCTATCTACCTTGGAAATTGCCAGCAAACAATAGCAACTACAGCCACAGGATAAATGCTCTACTATACCAAAGTGCTCTGTGGTAGTTAAATGTAGGTGTGATCCAAACTATGTGTAGAGAGAATGTCTAGAATTCAGTTCTACAGATGCATTGTTATCTTTAAACATTTCCCTTTCTGGTTTTGATAGTTTGTTACTCCAAAAGGGTTTCTGTGGTTATGCTGCTTACAGATTCTGGCTTTGATTTTGCCAGCTAGCTTTAGTTTAAGAAATATGCAACACTGCAATAATTGTTCCTTTTTATTAGTTGTTTTGAAACCCAACTCATTCTTTGTAAGAAATATTCAAACTTTTTTTTTCACAGAAAAACATTGCAAATTTGCCATATAAATTGTAAATGTAAAGATCATTAAGTGCTCAAATGTTAATCTGATGCTTTAACATTCTCTGTTTAAATCACTTGGGGCTCAGTTGTGTGCACAATTTAGCCACCCAAAAAACCCAAACTTGAGCTGTCAGTCCAAGACTGAGATTCCCCCTACCAATCTATCCCTTGGAAGAATTACTTTTTAATTAGATGCTGCTGACAGGGTTTTCCTTAAGTTACACTGGAAGCATACAATTTACTGACAAGTGAAGAGTGCTTTCTAGACATAGTGACCCCATGCTTTTCATAAAGTGATTTGAATTTTCCTTTTGAAAGGATTGTCTGTTGGGGTTTTTTTTCCCTCTCCAAATACTATTAGTTTAAATGTTCCATTTCTAAAATTACTGAAGTATTTGTGTCATGTTTGACACCCCTTATAATTTGCAACTGAATTTAAGCACTGTCTCTGCAAGGTCATGCACAGACCTAGAATTCTAATATATACTCTGTTGCTTGAATGATAGTTGTGCTCAAGTGACAACTACCTTGCTGTAGAAGGCACCCAACTGTAGAATTTTAAATATCCTCATAAGATCTGCAGCAAAGCTTGTGTGTTTGTAACACTGGGCATGCCTGCACAGCATTCTCCAGAGACCTGTGCTCAGGTTCCCTGGGTTCCCATCCAGCTGGCCAGCAGCCCCTCCAGGTGAAGGCACAATGCTCGAGCTAATACAGAGGCCTGCTGAGCACACAGTGTAGCCCTAATGAAGAGACACAGCCCTCTGAGCAGCACTTGCTATGTCCATCTGTCCCCTGAGCTGGAGCAGAGACAGAGATACCACAGGGCTGCCCATGACACACTCACTTCCAAGTACCTACAGCAAGGAGATTGTCTTGTTTCATTGTCACCTCAAATAATACTGAAGGACAAATCTGATGAAGAATAATGTAACTGTTATTTGAAATGTGATATTAGAAGGTGTGATAAAGCAAGGATTAAAAACTCTAAAAGATTCAATATTCCCAGATTTTATGAATAATTTCATTCTAAGCTACAATGATATTTTTAATTTCAGGATTTCAGCGATGAGATAATATTTTAAGACCGTAAAAACTTTCTAAATTATGCTCAAACCTTTTATCACAGTTGTTGTACTAAACTGTATTTAAATAAATATGTTTTGTAGTTATACCTAATAGTCTAATTAATTTAAGAAGTTTGCATTTTGGTTATGGTAGCAGCAGCTGATAGCAGAAAGCTCTTCTGATGCATGACAATATTGAGAGGAACGTAGAGTTCCAGCTTTAACTCACTGCAACTGGGTTTCTCACACATTTTTCATAGTGTTTTTTTCTCTTTTTGAATATTTCCCAGTTGAATAGTTTTCACCACTCTACAGCACAATAATATTCTTCAGTTACAATTCACCTCTACCCATCTGCACAGAGCAAACCTTTCATTTTACCTTTTATTATTTAGTCATAATTGTGGCAAAAATCAACCAGAAGGATATAATTATTTTCTTTTTTAAAAAAATAAAATAGTGTATCTCTAAAAATCATTCCCCAGAAAAAAGTATTTTGAGAATTCTTTTGTATCTTTTTACTTTTCATTGTTTCATGAATAATGTGTATAGAACATATCTATTGTGATGGACTAAATGCTCAATTATATCATTTTATACTCATAGTCACTGAGAAGATATTTACCTGACCTTTGCTGAAACATCCTCTCCTACTTTTATATCAATGTGTCCCTTTTTGTGATGTATTGAATCAATTTGATACACCATTTGAACAAGAAAAGAAGACAGGTATTTGAGGCTAAACTCACAGTCAGACACTGCCGTCTCAGTAAAGAACTGTGGGTCTGCACTTGATACAGCTAATGAACAAAACAGGGTCTCAGCATGAGATTCAGGGGTGGCAGTTTGTCATAGAAAACAGTGAAGAAAGAAGAGATGTTAAGTCTGTCTCATCAATCTCTCAGATATTCTCTCTAAGCCAAAAGAGCCAACCATGTCCTGGAGTGCATCAGGCACAGCATCCCCAGCTGGTGAAAGGAGGAGGTTGTCTCGCTCTGGTCTGCGCTGGTGCAGCCCTGCCTTGAGACCTGGGGGCAGCTTTGAGTGCCTCAATATAAGAAGACCACAAACTATTAGACTGTTATTAGGAGAGCAACCAAGACAGTGAAAGGTCTTGAAGGCAGGACTTAGGAGGAGTGGTTGAGGTCACTTGTTTTGTTTGGCTTGGAGAAGAGAAAGCTGAGGGGTGACCTCATGAGGGGCAGCAGAGTGGGAGGTGCTGAGCTCCTTTCACTAGTGACAGTGATAGGACCTGAGGGAACAGCAGGCATCTGTGTCAGGGGAGATTTAGGTTAGATATTGGGGAAAGGTTCTTTACCCAGCAGGTGTTTGGTCACTGGAACAGGCTCCCCACAGGGAAGTGGTCATGCTCCAAAGGCAGCCAGAGTTCAAGGAGTGTCTGGATGATGTTCTTAGTTATATGATTCAGTTTTAGAGTCCTGCAATGAGCAGGGAGTTGGGTCCCTTCCAGCTGGAGATATTCCAATGATTCTCTGGTTATCTCCCAGCAAAGTGCCCTTACCATTTGCCTATTGGGCTGTTCTTTAGGGCTACTCTGAAAGTTAAACCATTTGGAAGAAAAAATTAAAAATTCATTGCATTATGGGGTGTGAAAAGGATGATTAGTGCCATGGTCTAGTAATGACAGTAGGGTTGGACTCAATGACCTTTGAGGTCTCTTCCAACCTGATTGATTCTATGATTCTATGATGTCTATGGTCTAGGACGTTTAGGAGATCTGATGGGACAAGGAGGATTATGGCTTCCAGTCCTAACTTCAAGGATCATTTCTGTGTTTTGTCTGCTAAACCTTCTATGTAAAATGTATTAAACTCCTGTTGCATGGTTCAGAACAGAGCCCTGCACCAAACTGCAGGCCTGGAGAATCATTCTGCCTCTTGATCACCAGAAATGTGTCATCTGTTGTGTACCTTAACACTGCTTTTGCACTACTGTTCTTGACACTGTAATGTAATGAGTATATAATACATACACATGGAAATATGAAGAAGTGTAAAATTAAGTCTCCAAATTGAAACACAGCACTGAAAAAAATGTTCTGACCTTTTGTGTCATTAAATTTCAATTGATTTAGAGTTAGATAATTTCAGACTTTTTTTCATAAAAAGTAATTTTTCAACTCATGGTCATGACTGAAAAATTCGCCTTTAATTAGCACTTAATTTCATATTGTTATATTCTAGTTTTAATTGACATATAATTATTTCATTTGTTATTTATTAATCCTTTGATCTGTTTCACATATTACATTAATTGAATCTGATAGTTTTGCAAATTCTTAGAATTCAGAATCTTCAGATGTTTTTCATTCCTATTCCATAGTTCCAAGAAGAACATTTTCCTTTTGCATGCTTTCAATTAAAAGTAAGTCACTTTCTTTCGTAGGCTCTGCAGCTGATCTTTGTAAAATGGCTATGGTGAAGATTTTTACCTCTGTTGTTGTTTCTCCTACTTTAACAGCCAGGTTAGTAATGAATGACTGCAAAGCTGTTTATTTTTGAAGAAAAATTAGTTGAAATGGATGTGTTTCTGTCATTTAAGAAGCTGTAGAAATACCATGTTTGCCTCTGAATCTTTTAACAAGCAAGAACTTGTGGAATGGTTTTATATATATCTTTGTGCTTAAATCGTTGGATCTGTAAATCTATCCCAAGGTGATGAAATGTCCTGGGGCCATTTAAACTCAGTCAAGTCTAGTTCAGTGGTAGTTCCACATCTTTGAAATCAAGCCCACTGATCATATCCTTCCTGTATTTTCAGTGTATTGTACAGTGGGAATTGAACATTCAATGGGCTGGGAAAAAAAAACAGGAATCCGGAAACCAGTTCTCAAGCAAAATAAATGAACATTTTTCATGCTTGTATAGATGGCTTTCCTTTGCTAAAGAAAAGCTCAGTCATGATTCCCTTCTGCTGTGACTGCTCAGAGTTGGGTAGGAGACCACAGAATGTCCTTGTGAGTTTTATGCCACTAGCAGAGACAGTGAAGTCTATTTTTCCTGTAGCAAAGGATGAAGGGGATGGTGCAGAGAGCCAGTGAGCACTATATTTGCTCAGATGGAAAGATACTTTGAAGGCAAACATGCAGAAAAAAACCCAAACAACCAAAACCAGAGTTCTTACATTTTGTAATGCTGTAGTAAACAATCAGTAGAACATGAATTTGTGCAGCAGAAGTTCAGATAAAGGCAGATAGTGCAGAACATCAGTGTTTCTGTTGTCATCTAGAAGGAGAAAACAAAACAATTTAGCTGAAGCAATCATGTCTTAAGGACTCAGTGGGTGTTCAGGTCAGTACAAAGCAGAGGGTTTGGCTTTCCAAATATACTTGGCAATTATGTGTAAAATCTAACCCTGTAAATGCTCTGTGTATGTTTGCGTGTGTATCATTTACACACAGCAGTGTTTTATTTGATCAGTGTTTGAACTCATAATTTCTAGTTACAAATCTAAATTCAATTTGTGGAATTCAGAGTTAGAATCATTCCTGTGTCAAAAATAACCCTTAAATGTTCTTGCAACTTTTTGAGCAAAATATCATTGAACTGTTACAAAAAAAACCCCAAAACAAACCAAAAGGTAAATGGCCTGCTAATCTGAAAAGGGAAATGGTTCTTTGGTGGAATCTTCCTGCATTCAGACAATGATACAGTGATGTCATAAATGTTGGATGATGCACTATGCAACTATGCATAACATATTGCATTGTAGATTGTGCATTTTTGGGCAGTCTCTACACTGATTATAATTCTCTTGGCTACCTGAGTTGTATGAAGAGTCCACAATCTGGCAGCTGTGGCATGGAGAAAAATTTCTGTAGTAGTAGCAGGCATAACTTCAGGTTAGATGAGTGATGGAGCAGCAGCCAGCAGTCCTTAATGAGGGAAGGAAGTGGAGGTGGTGAGAGGGTGAAGAGCTCCTACCTGGCACACCAATCTTTACCTTCAGTAACTGCTTGTTTGTTGTAATTCTGAGAAAGACAAAGCTTTTTGTTACTACTGTCATGTCTGATATAGCTTGTGAATGTTTTCTTCTCTCAACAGAAATTGTTACTTGAGTTGTTCTTTCTCAAAACAATTTCTTTTAAAGAAGTAATGTCACCAAATGGCTAAGGTAACAGGCATGGGGAAGTATTGGAGTTCTACATGATGAAATTCCTTGTGTTGTGAAAGCATAAGGGAATGGCTACACCAGACATCAGAAAAGCGTCACTTGCCTATCCTGCTTTTTCCTATCGTAAATGTCACAGCTGGGGAAGACCAGGACTGCAAGGGCATCTAAAAGAGACAGACTGTTTTAAACAGGAATGTTGAATTCCTGCCAGCCATTTACAACTGGGTGGCTTTGCTAGAGGAGAGCATTGTAACAGTCAATAATGGCTCCTTGCTGTAATATTTAGTAGGTACTTACAGGCCTTACAAGGCTTGTAACAAAAGCTCAATCAATGCCTTTATAAATTCTGTGAACACTCACCTGGGTGGACGGTGGCATTTGAAAGCATCAGTGTGGTCTTGCCAAAAGCATATGGGACTGAAACTTGAAAAATTGTGTTTCCACTTGTCTGCCAGGTGACATTCAGTTAGTTATTTTTTCAGTGGTCTGTTTCTTGATTTTCTTATCAGTCAAGTCAGGATAATGATCCTAACATCCTTTATAAAGCCCTTTGAAAAATGCTGTCCAAAGGAAGTGTGTACATAATTGATGCTCAAGTTGTAATAGTGGGAATGCACAGTAGCTCTTCCAAAATGAGGAATATAATCAATCTCCTATTATCATCCCATCAGATCATATTAATTCCAAAGATGGCACACTACTATCTTTTCTTCTATCTTCATCCCCTTGTAAGTATTTTTATTTCCCTATTAGAACTTCTAATTTTAGAAACAGGAGTTTCACTTTGAACAGCATATCAAAGCAAAATATCTTTTTTACATGCTTTAGAAGTGGTTATGAACCCCACATTTACACTAGGAGACAGAATTCTATTAGTCATAGCTAAGTTTTGGCTAACACTCAGTGTTTTGTCTTCCTTGTCTGGGAAATTAAATAAAAATAATTAATTCTAGATAAGATCTGAGAGTTTTTAGTGTTAGTTTGCAGTCTTCACTCATAGCACTGTGTTCGTTGTTCCTGAGATCTAATCTGTTTGCTCTGAGCAAGCTGTGAGCTGACAGTGTGAGGCTTCATTTTTGTGTGACTAGTAGTCAATGGAATTTCAGTTATGGTTTGCACATATGATATTTCATTTGGATGTCAGGGAAAGGTAATCAAGTGACATTTTTATGATGCTTCATCAGAGACGTCTTCTTGATGAAACAGTATATTCCACTGTGACTGATCAGTTCTGTTCTGTCAACTAGCAGTCTCATTTTTCTCTTTGTGTTTCTTCATCTCTTCATTCAAACACCAGCCTAGCAGCTTATGCCGTTGACAATAAAAAGTCAGTCAGTTAATTGGAAATAATTTTACAGAAGTGGTTGAAAGTAGTATTAAATGCAACACACATGTGAAGGACCTGTTATTTGTAGGTTATCTACTGGCATCAGTGTTTAGTGCCTCTGCATTTTGTGTGGCACTGATAAGTAATCAAAATTTTTTCAGATGTCTTCCATATATACCGAGATCTTTCTAAAGATGCTCTTCTTCTGCTGCTGGCCAAGTTGCTTACTGAAAATGTGCTGCTGATATAAATTATTCAAGTGCCAGCTTTTACCTGTCTGATGCAATCCACAGAACCTCCACACGATGTTTCCTGCAGGCAGACGATAGCAAAGAAACTTCTGAAGTGAGATCAAGGCATAGAGTAGCAGCTGAAAGAAAGATTTATGGATTTGATGAGAGTGCAGAGGTACTTGGGGAACTCAGATGGACAGTTGTAGTTCTTTTCAGTGTTTAAAACATCAGTGCAGTGGCAAACACATGGAAAGTTGCTAAGAAAGCTGGCAAATTGTGGAAGAATTGCTGCCTATAACAACGTTTGTAAAAATTATCACTTTGTATGCTGAAGATGCACTGATGTTACCCAAAGTCTACTTGGTGCTACATGGACTTCTCAGAAAGTCATTAAAGATGATAATATCCCAACAACATGCAAATCAAATTTAACAAGTTTATAGAACTGTTGAATAATTTGGTGTGAGTCCAGCAATTCTGCTTTCTCACCAATTCATTGTTCCTCCAGCACTGGACCTGTGCCACACAACACACAGCTTTACTTCTCAGCATGTCTGGAGCCCAGTTAAAGAGACAGGTCCAGCCACAGGCCAGATATAAATGAGTGATCTGAAAAGGAGAAGCTGCAAGCAAATAAAAGGAAAAGTATATTTTCTTGGTCCCATCTGCTTTCCAATAGCAGTGGATATTGAAGGTTTTGTATGCCTTCTTCAAGGAACAAACACTTCAATCAGCCTAATGAATTTCTGAACTGGTGAGCTGTAAATGCAGCTCACTTCTACAGACAGCTAAATTAGCTAGAAACAGCCCTTATCATCCTGGGAAGAAGCATTGTGCTATGTGACCTGGATTTTTTCACATACAAGTCATGTGATAATTCACAGATGATTCATTTCTTGTAAGTGGCTTCAGTTTCAGTACAATACAAGAATCTAGAAGCCTTTCTATAAGGTATGTAGGGATTCAAACTTTCACTTTATAGACTGCTTATCATTTCTCAGATCCATACAGGAGGGCATACTATTAAACCCAACTTCTTGATTACATCATAGTTTCAACCAAATACATTCAGTAAACTGTTAGTGCTGCTGCTATGCATGTTGATTTTCTTTAAATCTAGGCATAAATCTGATGTCCCTTTATCTGTTTCTTCAGGAATGAAAGAATTATTTTTACTCATGTTTCTTCTCTAGCAGTTAACCAGAATTTTCAAGTTAATGCTTATTGCTCTAGTACTCTGCCCACAATTCCCACCCAGTATATGGATCAACTCAACCTTTGGTAAATTTTTATTCTTAGCCTAATACTGGAGAAATAGAATCACAAAGAATAGTTTTGGATTTGCTGGAGAGGACAGTAAGATTGTTGTTTGACAGACAAATGCTTTTGTTTCAGCAGCAGAAGGAAACTTCCCAGGTTGTATTGTTGTGCCAGAAATGACTGTGAACTCTCCATAGCTGCTGTCCCAGTCCAATATGTAGCTCTTTGCTTCCCACAGTGGCCTAGTAACACTATTTCTAGGCATGCTCTGACTTTAGAAAATCATCCCTTTCCTCAAGCATCCAATGCAATATTTTGCATGTATCCACAAGATGGTGAACTGTTACCTGAACACTTCATGCACAGTGAGCCAGAACAAGTCAGAGGGATTTATTCTTTATAGAAAGAGCTAAATATGTTTAATATGTTTCAATATCACAGCCAAAAAGGGCATTCATGATGTAGCAGGTATTTTAGTCTTCCTTCATGTGAGTTGTTTGACGCAAATAAATGCATTTCACTTATAAAACC